CAAGTTCATTAAAAGTCCACATCCATGGTGGTCAAAGGGTTTTAATGGGCAGCATAATTTGATTATTCAGATAGTATGGATTTTATGCATACCTAATGCTTTAGCAGTATCCTAAGTAGTCTCAACTTATCACAATTGGGACAGGAGTTTGGTTGTAAGTCGTCATAGTTGTAAGTTGAGGCACCATGTTACTGGACCCAATTTTCTACTGTTTTTAGAGCAGTCATTAAGTGTATCACATAGACACTGGCAAAAATCCACGGGAAGTCAGAAAAAAGTGGTCATGTGACTGTAACAACCAGTCATAAATGCAATTCAGTTGCCAAAGCACCCAAAATGTAGTCATGTAACCATGGGGACAGGAAGTTTTATGGTGGCTGGAACTGTTTTCTAGGCTGTTAAGCAATCTTCCCAAGGCCATTGTAACTTGAAACAATCATTAATGAACCAGTCATAAGTTGAGGATATCTGTATCTGCACTTTGGCATAGGGTTAGGGTAGCAATGTAGGATGAAAAAGAACACTTCTAGTACATAGTGGATGATAAAATTGTACTTTTTCCTTTTTTGTAGAAAATAATCCGTTTTCCTTTGCTCTTCATAATGTATCGAGCTTGTCATTTGCTGATCTGGCTTCAAACAATTCTGGGGATTTTGCTTTTGGTTCCAAAGGTAAACTATATATCTTGTTTATCATCTGTCAGGGTTCCAAGTAATAACTCCATAGAAAGCAGAACTCAGAGGCAGACAAGTTCCTCAAAGAACAATCTTATTGGAGATATATTGGTACAAGCTGGTGAAAACTGACTCTGAAAGTTCCCATGATTTTCACCTGATTTCCCCAAACAATCAGTCACATTGTCCAATCAAGTCGCTGGCTGGTTGCCTGGATATTCTGCTTCTCTCTCCAGCCACCTATTGGAATGTCCTTAGTTCCCACAGAAAACTATTTTGTTTTGGCTACAAACCCCCATGTAACTATGCTCCATATTCCTCCTTCGTACTGTGGCAATCCTGAAGCCTCCAAAATGGCCCTAGCCACGTTCACTTCAGAGTTGGCATCATCAGTGTGAGAAAACTAGCTGGAGTTTTTATTTAAAAAATTCATAGGAAAAGTGAACTGATGTTGGCATATAAAAGCTTTAATTATTTTCTCATCTAAACAGACAAAAACTTTAAGTGGGCAAATACAGGAGCAGCTGTATTTGGAATACAAGCAGCCACTAAAGGGGATTGTGATGATGATGCAAGCGATGAAGATGTGGTACACAGTGACGATATTCATTTTGAACCAATAGTCTCACTGCCAGAGGTAAGTTTCCTGGCATAAGGTGCATTCAGTATTGCTCCATTTATTTGTCAACTATTTGTTTTCATTTGTCAGTTTTGATCTTGCATGAAATAAATGAAACGATTAAGAATGGAGCCAATTAGCCTATTGTGTTATGGGACTAAAATCTCCAGATTTTAGTCTTTATAATTCCTCAAATGTCCAGAATTCTGAAAGACTAACATGATATATATTGCTCTAAAAAAAACACTAGACTTCTCTCTCTCACTCTCTCTCTCTGTTATATATATAATACAAACACACACCCATGCCTGCAGGGATAATTGTGATTGCTTATTGTAAATTATAAATATTATTCAGACTGGAACGTGCCATCTCCTCCCAAGTGGACTCTTACCATGTTTTGAAGGAGTTAAGGAGTTTTCTTTAGTGTTTTCCTGTTTCAATAAAGAAAGTGATAGTGAATCATTCAATCTTAAACTGATTTCTCCAGTGCATTGTTGGAATTTTATCTGCTTATTCTCCGCATCTGATATGTTAGTTTAATCTGCTTCTACTTTAATCTTTGGGTTAGTTTGTGTGCTGTGTCAGCTTTCTTTAAGTTTATGTCATATGTAATGATGATAAACTATACAATTCCTCATATAGGTATTTCTACTTTGTCTTAATTGGTCAGACTTATAGATAGCATTTAATTGCAAGCTTTCTAAAAAGTCTTGTCATTCAGAGCTCCACTAAAGCTCTGAATGACAAGTGATAAAAGGCCTTATTACTCTATCTATCCTTCCAATTAAACATTGCTGCAGTGGTATCCACATTCAACATTATTATTTATTCCTGCTAGGTTGAAGTAAAATCTGGAGAAGAAGATGAAGAAATTATCTTCAAAGAAAGGGCCAAACTATACAGATGGGACAGAGAAGTCAATCAGTGGAAAGAACGTGGTATTGGAGAAATAAAGATTCTCTTCCATATGCAAAAGAAATGTTACCGAATTTTAATGAGAAGGGATCAAGTTCTCAAAGTCTGTGCAAACCATATAATCACAAAAGCAATAGACTTAAAACCCTTGAATTCTTCAAACAATGCTATGGTTTGGACTGCAACAGATTATGCTGGTGAGTATTTTTCTTTGTTTGAGATGTCTCATGATTTCACTCCTTTCTACTGCTTTCACAGCAAGATCTCTTTGCTATTATAATACTTGAATTTCAATTTCAGATGGTGAAGCTAAGGTAGAACAGCTTGCAGTTAGATTTAAAACCCAAGAACTGGCTGATACCTTCAAGAAGAAAATTGAAGAGTGTCAACTGATTTTGTCGGAAGAACAGAAGGGACACGTATCTTTTGCAGAAAAATTTTCAAAGGAATCTAACCCTGTAGTATATCTTGACATTTCTGCTGATGATGAACCTCTAGGGCATGTAAGAATAGAATTGCTTTCCAATGTTGTTCCTCGAACCGCTGAAAACTTCAGGGCATTGTGCACAGGAGAAAAAGGATTTGGATATCGAAACTCTAGATTTCACAGAATAATTCCAGATTTTGTCTGTCAGGTACGTTAAAATACTTTCAAAGACTGTTCAAAAGGAATTTAATTTTCAGTTTTATTGTCCACTTATTGCTGCATAATTTTCTGAGTTCCTCAGGAAATTGTGACTGGGAAAAAATTGGAGTTACCGTTTCAAATTTATATGTGCATTTTTTAAAAATTGGAATCAATTTAGATCCAGTACAGAAAAGGTTATCAATACAACAAATATAATCACAAATTTAAAAAGCAGAAGGGAAATTCTAAAACGTGGCATAACAGAATTTATTTGAATTAGTAATGAGTAACCTCCTACCATTGAGTACTTATTTATTTTATTTGTCAAATGTATATGGTTGTTGCCCTTCTCACATGAAGTGATTCTTAGGTCCGCCAATAAAAATGAAAGTAAATATATCTGGAAATTATAATTGCGATTAAGCTTTTTGCCATTGTGTTTGAACAGTATTGAATCTTAGGTTTAAAAAATAATCTAAACTTTTAGCTTAAATCTTTAAGCCTAGACGTGTAAAAGCAAAACATACTTTATTGTTTGAATGCTGCCAATTATATGAATAAACTGAATATCTTTTTTAAAAAAAATCAGTCCGGATCCTATATTCCATTGTCATTCTGTTAAGGATGCATTATCATTGGTTAACATGCATTGGTTGTATTTGAGAAGTTTTGCATATTTTACTAAATTCTCAATTTCTTTCATTCCAGGGAGGTGACATCACTAAGCATGATGGGACAGGGGGGCAGTCCATTTATGGAAATTCATTTGAAGATGAAAATTTTGAAATAAAACACACTGGTCCTGGCCTATTGTCAATGGCAAATTGTGGCAGAAATACCAACAATTCTCAATTCTTTATTACTCTCAAAAAAGCAGAACAGTTGGACTTTAAACATGTTGTCTTTGGGTTTGTAAAGGATGGTATGGATATAGTGAAAAAAATAGAATCTTTTGGCTCTCCCGAAGGAATAGTGTCAAAAAGAATTGTGATTACAGATTGTGGGCAAATACAAAATGATTCTGCTGACATATTGGAAGCTTAAACATAAACCTTCAGCAGATTTAGACAAGATTATATTCAGGGTTTTTTGTTTGTTTAAAAAATGAACAACTTCTGATGTATAAATGTAAAGTTACAGCTCATAGCTGAGTACTTTTTAAAAATGTGTTTCAATTGCCTGCATGTTGTGAAATAAACGTTCAAACACTAGTCTACTTCAAGTGTACTTGTTTCTTCCTGATTTTATATTAAATAATTTAAAATGAAATTTCCAGTGTCTGAAGTTCTGCGTTTCTGTATCCGTCTTGGCTTCTTGAATGATTCAAATAATATTACATGGTAATTACTTCTTCTATACTACATTATATTAGAGAATGATTTTCTATAGCAAACAAAATGCTCCAACAGCTCTTGAGTTGCTAAAGTGGTGATATTTAGTTGCCTTATTTTGATATTTAATGTCTTAAAAAATAAAGACTACTGCCTGAAATTATAGGTGGTATGTACATGCTTTTGCACTGGAAATACAGCAGTTACATGTTGCCACTTTAGTGCTTAAAGCAAAATCATATTCAAACCCAAAGGAACCTTATCCTCTTATCAGTTATAATTGCAGGTGACAACATCTGGTAGAACTTATAAGTTTGAAGGCTAAGCAGATTTGGGCTTGATCAGTACTTGGATAGCGCCAGGCAATTCCAGGGTTGTTGGTTAAATACAGGGGGAAAGATAATGGAAGATAATGACAGCTTCCATGCTGCTGTCTGTTGGTTCCAGAGAAAAGATTGAGCCAACATCCCAGATTCAAAGTTGCTTGTTCTGTTCATCGTTAACTTTGATAAGGTATGTTGAAAAACGGTATCCTGACAAGGATGTGAGTCAGTATACATTTATTGGAGTGGGATGGCCATCGTAATTCAGAATTCAGTAGCATTGCAGTCTCGTGAAGCAATGGAAAGGCCATCCTAGACGGGCCCGCGCCTGGAGTCCCGTTTCCCACTTTCAGTAGTCGCTTAGTCGGTTGCCTTGGAAACAGTGAGGTGGGGGCGGAGCAGTCACCTCGCGCAAGCGCATTTTAGTTCCTCTGCCTGTCTTCCTCCGCCTCTCCTCGCAGGCGGTTGTTGTAAAAAGCGGGAGGGCAGCGGGAAGATTTGCCTGGCTGGCTTTTCTTCCATGGCGGCTTCCCCAGAGCTGAGCAGTTCCGTTGAGCGTTGGCGGAGACGTTATCTGAGTGGAGAGGTGGGGGATACGCGGGGGTGGCGGAGCTACTTTGAATACGTGTAGCTCCATCCTCACGGGATCCGGGTGTGAGTGGAGCTTGATAGAAGCGTGGCTGTTGGTAATTCCTAAATGTCGGTTTTGCCACGGCCCTAAAACGCAAGGGTGGCCTTGGTTTGCCTGTGACCATAGATAGCACTTGGAGTTGGGAAAATAGCGGGCACATGTTCAGAGGGACTCGTTTTTCTTACGAGTTCCTGCCCGGCGCAAGACAGATCAGTTTCGAAGCATTATCCAAATTTTGTTCGGGGAAAGGTGATTTCTAGCGGGTTTGCGTTCCTTATTTCGAGGCTTGGACTGCCAGGATTTGACATCAAATCTTCCTCCACTCAGTGGCCCTATTAACTGGTTCTAAACGGGTTTTAGGGTGGCAAGAGATTTAAACTAAATGACAGAGCAAACAAACCACAGAAAAAAAAACCCTGTATAAGAAGCAAGCACTAGACTAGATGATGCTCCTAATTCGGGTATGCACTTCCTTTTTCAGGCTTATCTTTTGGATGTAACACAAGCCAAAAGTAAAAGTAGAAGGGCCCTGATAGCTGCAGGTAAGACATTTAAAAAGAGGTGTTGTTTAATTTGCTAACAAGAAAAGGTACAGTATTAGCTTTTATTAAAATTTAGTTATATCTCCCCATCAAAAGCAATGAAAAATAAGGATTGGTAGTTTGTTAACACAACACACTAACAGTTTACTGAGCACATTCCACTGAATTTACTTAGTTGCCTAACTTTATCTGATATATGAATTGTAAACTGATTATGTTCCTATTATCAATGCCTTCCTGTCAGTGATTCTGCTCTCTCATTTGAAATATATGAAAACTTTCTTCAAATTCTGAAGTTATGAATGAAGACTATATAAGTTTAAACACACAAACAGTTCTTTTGGTTTACATATTGATAGAGTAACAGATGTCACTGAGAAGTGCCTCTAGATCTGGGTCTTGACCATGATGTCCTCTGCAGATACATAGTGAAATATTTCTATGAAAAAATGGAATCTGGTCAAGGGAATATTATTAAGGATGTTTGTACAGTGTTTTTGAATGACCTTGTAAAGAGGACATCAGGTTTGAGCAAAAAAAAAAACCTGACAGGGCAATTGATATCTGCCCTCAGCCCAATGGTGATACTAGTGTTGAAATGTGTGCTTGAAAGTGGGTAATCCTATGTAACAGGATAACATTTCTTTAGGCTAGATAATGCTCATAATGTTTAGAGTCCAAGACTGGTTTATTGATCATTTCATAATTGTGCAACTTTAAACACTAACATAAAAACTAGCTGCCTCCCTCCATACCTTAAAATTACAATATCACATAATAGAGAGTAATCTTCTGACATGTTAAAAGAATATTGTTATGTAAAAACTTAATTCCATATGGCTGTATTTGTACTGATCTAAAATGATTTATTGTAAGAGTTTTTGTATAAAGCAATCAATTGCTTTATAGAAAATATGCAAGCATCATCAAGAGTTGGGGATGACCTATTTAGCCACAATAAGAGAAAGACCATATTGGTTGGAAATGTGTAGAAGAGGCCTTCATCCTGCAGTGGATAGACAATGACTAAAATGATGAAAAGAAAAAATATCTTTCCACACTCCATTTTACTATTTACTCAAAAAAGGCCTCACCTTTCCCCAAAAACCTGAGATGATATATTATGGGGGGATATATTTTACTTTGCTATAGTGCAAAGAGAGGTAAGCAACAGGCTTTTAACCAATAGTGACCTCCCATGGATGGAGTGGCATACTGGTAAGATGGAACATCCCAATGTTATGCCTTTTAGATCTGCTTTGGAAGAATTAAGGAAAGGAGGAGAATTTTCTTTAAATCAAAGAAATTGGCAATATGCATAGTTGGGATATATGTTTATGTTTAATAGCTCAGATTTTATCTTAATTTGTTTGCTGTATTACAGTTCAAAAATTCCATAATTCAGTGATGATCTTCTGTAATTTATTAATGATGGTCTCTAGCTGTAATTCAGTAAAGTAAAGTAAAGTTTCCTCACAGGAGATAACTCACTGGATGATACAGTTGCGTCTATACTTATAAATTCTTCACAATCAAAGCTTCTGTACTGCAGAAGAAAGCATAATAAAAGATTTCTGGACTCCTCAAAAACTTTGAAAAAATTGGCTTGGTAAGAAATCTCTTTACTCTTCGAAACATACATCCTTTTATAATGCGGTTATAAACCAGGTATCGGTTATTTAATAGTTCAATCACATCCTATGAAGTACTACATTTTCTGGTGATTCTAGCATTTCTTACACTTATAATTGTAATTATCATGATAATTGTGTTTGTTAGGCCAGATGATGAGTCGGATTCTTTGTGTGATTCAGACCAGCTTCGTATACAGCCAGAACCAATTGGAGATTTTCTTGGAAATGATGAAATCCAAAGTGAAGGCATATATTCAGAAACAGGTATTCAGTTACTTATTTCTAGCACAACTTGAGAAAAATAACATATTCACATCTGAATTTATGCAGAATGTATCATTGGTTTGACCCTGCTATATTTTTCTAGCCTTTTAACTGCATCATTGATGTCACTGTGCAAGATGCACTGCATTCTAAGCTGCTCCCTTGTGCCCTGTCTTATGCCATGTCTCTTGTGCCATGTCTCACATTTGCATTTCACTCATGGAGTCTCCGTTTTTCACCATATTGAGGTTTCCAGGATTTAGTTATGACAAATTGTTGATATTCCACTGTGGAGGAAATGTCTGCTCTTAGTTCCAGGTGGGGTGTCTATCTTGTGCTCTGAATAGACAAGTTTCTATACTAAATCTATATTTTGCAGAATAGCAAAACACTGATTCATTATACTGATTATATAGCTCATTTTATCTACCTGTCTAAACAAAACAATCCTTCAAGTTGTTTAGTTGATCATATTCAGGACTTTTAGCTTCAGTCATTCTTGTCAGAATGGGTGGGGGGTGTTTTTTTCTATTCTGAGAAAGTTACAAGAGCAACTGGAAATCATTCTTGATGTTTTCAAGGTTTGATTCTTGTGTATTTCTTTAACAGCAATCCTGAATACTTTTAAAGCTGTGGCAAGAATGTGTGCAATTCCAAGTAAAATGATATATAGCAGCTTAAAAAGGTGGTGTAACAGCCATGGGCATACTGAATCATGCACAATTACATCGCGCATATTTGCAAACAGTTTAAAAAAATCTCACTAAATTTTTAGTTTCACCCATGTCAGAACAAATCTTGAGAGATTTCAGGTGACAACCTGAGATTTCAGAGATGCTTTGTGAGATTACTATTGTTGTTATTTGGCACCCAATGTAAACGGAGAGAAGATTTGGCATCTCTAAGGAATTCTACATTAGTCAGATGCATGTATATCAAACATTCTGATTAAGAAATCAGAGAGATCCACATAGATAGCACAATTGCTTGGAATGAGGGGAAAAACAATATAAATTTCAACACCTGCAGGATTTTTTTTCCCTTGATAAAATCTGGCATGTTCATTAATTTAATTTTGCTGTATTTACATTGTTTTGCTATTGTTACCTGTTTTAATTTGTATTCTGCTAATAATTTTCTATGTAAAGATACCTTGCAGGAAGCTTTGGTTCCTGTATATTTATGGCTAAGCGTTAAGACTTAATTGTGCTGTTTAATTCTTTTGAACCATTTCCAAATGTTAGATTTCCCTGTTTACAGAATAGGTTGATAATGATTCATAATGTGAATTAATTGACAGGCAAAACTCTGCCTTCTATGTCATCATCTGGAAAAGGGGCTATTCACATAACCAGCATACAATCTCTCCATAATGAAAAAATAATAATTGTAATGGCTTTCATAAAATAGAGGAATATAATGCTGATAATGCTGCTTCCATTTTCATCTATTAGGTATTACTTTGCCATCCACTTTAGGAGTGGCTGCTTACTGTGATTATAATAATGATGGTGATGCAGTAAGAAGCAGTGTGAGCATTTCTGAAACCCAAGAATTGAATGGAGAAAACATGGTAACACCTCAGTTCAATCAAATTTATCATGAATTATCAATCATCCACCAGAAGCTACAGGTAAAATATTAATAATGGTTCGGGTAGTGGTACATTTTTATTTTCTTTCCAATATCAGCAGAAGCTGCTACATTTTGTTTGTTGGTTCTTTTATCTTTTATGGTCCAGCAAGAAAAATTAAGTCAGCGAGAGTATGCTTTGAAACTTCAAAAGAGAGAATGTTTCGTAGCTGAACGGGAAGTTCAGCTTTGTAGGCATGAAGCTGCTTTGACCAAGATAAAGGGCGTTGAAGAGGAAGTTCATGCAAAATTTCAAATTATGAAGGAGGTATCCCTATTTACAAAATTCTTATTAAATTTGAGAAAATTATTCTAACAAATACACAGGCTGTATTTATTTCATCAGAGAAAAGTTGTGAAGTTATGGACTTATCTTTTCATATGGACATAAGAGTAAGTGTCCTTAGACACCAGTATTGCCCGGGCAGTTGTGAAAGCAGTACAGCTGGGGATCTGGGCCCCACTGTAATATATCAGTTCCCCACTCCTAAAGAAATCCTTTTCCTGGATATTTTACATAAAACGTTACATGCAGAGCATCAGTAGTGGAAGTGGACTGAAAAAAATATCTGATAATCAAGGTATAGAGGTACTAAATAAGATATTATGGGGAGAACAAATAAAAGACTTTTATGTTAGCAAGATTAGGATTGATGGTAAAGCTTATACAGCCATGGTAGTTGTGTGTACACTCGTCTGTATCTACAGAATGTAATATATCTGAGATGCATGCATAAGAGTTCAATCTTATTGATTCTTTTAGTATAACTATGAAGTTTGTTTTGTTTCTTTTTTCTTTATTTCAGTGGTCTCTTAACCAGTTTTTCTGCCCTGGACTAGGGAGAACTGTATTTCAGAATGTTGACAGAAAGGTTACTCAAAGAAAATTAAGTTTTGTCTTCCTTTAGAATGCTTATCTTCTTTTTTTATTTTGATGTTATTGGGGTTTGTTTGTTTTTTAGAAAGCAAGCTCTGGGTATTATACTTATATAATTCCTTATAGTATTTATGTCTGTCTTACATGCAGAGACGGTCTTTGATTTACAATGTTTTCTGAAGACAGTGGCTAATTCTCTTTTAAAAGTTCTTATTTTGGTTTGCAGCAATATGGAGCTGAAATAAAGCAGTTGTCCGATGCCTTGAAAGAAAAAACAAAGGAGAACAAAAGGCTGAAGACATCATTTGAAACACTAAAGGAGCTGAATGACACCTTAAAAAAACAGGCAATTGACACTTTTAACAGAATCATTAATCTGGTATTAATAAATGATATAAATAGAAGGTTATTGTTTTTAATATGAAGTATTAATATGTGACAACAATGCCAGTGACAAATCTGTACAGATTATGCTGTTTTCAAGAATATAGTTGTCAGGAAGAATCATGTATTTAACCCTAACACATAATGGTATCCTTTTAAAAAATTAGTGTTTGAATTACTGTACCTTAACAGGTACAGTATTATTTACATGCATTATTTAAGCTCTTCTGTCTGAAAATTAAAGTTTTCTAATTATCATAATCTGTTACAGTTTAATATGCTTTAGCAATGGGCAAAAGTGCTCATGTTTTCAGTGCAGGTTGGAGACATTTGCAGTAATTGTAAGGGACAAAACATCATAAGGAGCTTTAACCAATTGTGGCTACTTATATAAGTAGCTTTCAAAACATTGTAGAAAAGGTGTCATCAACATGGACAGTCAAGCCTAGCCAAAGCCCCAAGATGTCTTACCAGAGTTTCCAGCAGGTATTCTGACTTCCTCATGCCATACCTTAAACTGTCTCTAACCCCAGAAGGCCCTTTCCTGTGACACAGTGTCATGCACTCCCCTCCCCTCAGGCATACTTGAAGATCAAAATAGGAAGTCTCCCTCCTTGGAGCAGCTGTACCCTGGTGACATACAGAGAGAACAGAATGTGTGCTTCTCCAGTGCTTGTACTTTAGAGGTGGTCACGCTAGTGTCATCCTGCCACTACTACATAAATACTTTGGGCACACAGGACAATTTTACCCTGTTCCATTGTTTTCAGATGCTAACTTTGCTATAACAGACAGCCATTGCCAGGTTCTGTTCTGTGCACTCAAGATTTGTTAGATGATTAACTCCGGGTCATATCTAGGGATTAGTATTATTAATTACATTAAGGGTGTAGCTGGTCTGCCATATTGGGGTACTCTCACTTTCCTGTCATGTGCTAACATTTAATGCTTCCCTGGGTTCTCTTAATGTTTTCACCTCTCCTTCCTTTCACTTTTTATGCCTTTTAAACCTTTTGTGTCTGATATATTTTAGTTTAGATACTGCATATTTTTGCTCTTTAAAGCATCTTTTAGATTTTTCACTTTATATAGTTGTATACCTTTTATGTCTCCTGTGTATGTATCTTCACTTTAGTTTTATCTTTTTAAAAAAATGTTTATGTGTGCCCCACCCCCTTATGTTAGTCTATAAAGATTTGTTTGATTTATTGTGGCAATACAACGTTGAAAACATGAAAATATGCATGAATTATTCTTTAAGCAGAATAAGAATAAAATCCTTGACAGTTTCAATAAAACATACTATTAGATAAATATGCTTTGAATATATTTAGGATTGAAATCAAAATTTCTTGGATTTTGATCTCCATACTGATGGGAAATCTCGCTACATTGGTGATTTTAAACTCTGGACTACCTGCCTATGTGAAGTCAGCCTTTTTTAAGAGAAATATAGAATTTGTGATGAGGTTTTCATAATGTCAGAAAGAAAAACTATTCATAATCAGTGCTTTGGTTCAGGATTCTTTGCTTTGGAAAGAGAAGATTTCATGTAATAGAAATATTTAATTTGAAGCTTTGGTTCAACATTTTCTCCCTATTTTTAGTTAATTGATGTGACTGAGCAAAACAAGAAGCTTGAAGTCCAGTCTCGAAAAGTACAGGCTCGTTTAGAGAATTTGCAGGTAATATTGAATCTTGGCTTTTGTTATCTTTGTCCTCTGCCCACTCCACCATCAGAAATCTTACATATTGTCTCTCTGACCTATTTCAGAGAAAACATGAATTTTTATCAGTACAAAGATCTAAAGAAGCCACATTCCAAGACCGTAAATCTGTGAAGTCAGAAAGAGCAATAGCACCAGCAAAGGCCTATAAAGTAAGTAAGGCAAATTCTATAAATCACTCAATGCCCCAACTCAGAATTTTAAAGTCAGAAAACCTTATTTTGTGTGAGAATGGAAAGGGCAGCTATGCATATAAAATATGCAGTTGTCCTTTTTATACTATATGTGAGATACCTCGTAAACACTGAATATTTGTATGCAGAAAATACTGAGTTACATTCATTTGTATTATTGAAGGTAATTAGTGTGTTCTCAGAATTCCTAGTGGTTATTTTTTTAAATGTGAAATATGCTTTCTTTTTTTAAATAAGCTAATATATCTTACATCATTAATATGTATCAACTATGCATATATATTCAAGGAAGAAAGAAGTAAAAAGATCACAAGCTAAAAAAAATGAAATTAAAACCTTTGCATACATTTATTGATTTGGAGAATGCTTAAATCTCTCTGCTTCTAGCAACCAAGTCCCAACCAACATTAAACTAATGCATGGAAAGAAATGGAAAGCTTCACAAATGGTTCAGCAGGGAGAGAGACAAAGATGTGTGATGATTAAAAATACAAGTAATGCTTGTGGTTACATTAGCGGTGTGTTGGTTTGGAAGTTAATATATGTTTACTTTTGTGTTGATGCCTGACGCCTCAAATGATTTTCAAGGAATACTAGACAAATAATATAACGCAATGAAGAATATAAATATGAAAAATAACATAGACTCAGATAAATGTCAAAGACTCAGATAAATGTGCTTGACAAGAAAATAGAGGGAATGATTGCTCACTAGTGATGAAAAATTAGAGTAAATAGGTGAACATAGGTCCCTTGGGAGACTTTGTATTACAGATAATAAAATGGGTGGTGAAATTTGTGATGTGCAGATACTAGTAGGACAGTAGTATGTAGTTTGTGGTGTGTTGCAAGAAGTAAGCATTTCTCTCCCCTTTGGTATATGAAAGGTTGAGTATATCAGAATAAATATAAATGTAAATTGAGAATATATAAATAGCAAGTAAAAATAAAGTATGAAATTAAAAAGAAGCAATGGCTCAATCTGATGTGTGAATTCTACTTTATGTAAAGCTATATTGACAAAACCTTGCAGGTCTAAAAATGCTATCCTCCCTCTAGTTTTTCCCACGTATCTCAAGCTCTTATACACTGACCTGCTTGCCTGGGGCTCCCACCTCTTCCCTCTTTAAGACCTTATAGTCCTGGAGTTACAGCGGCAATTGGGATTGTTGGAATTATTTTCACTTAGTGATGTGGTCATGTGGCATCACACTTAATGACCATATTACTTAGCAGCAGAAATTCTGCTCCCAATTGCCATCATAAGTACAAGTAGCAGCTGCCCACAGGAACAGAAGTGTCAGTTGTAGCTATATAATACATTCAGTATTACAGGATGTATTATCCATACATATGAAATTGGAAGAACATTTCCCTTCCTTCTCACTTTCTTACCAGTACTAGACGTGATTTCCATGCACTTTGGGAACAGGTAACCCAAACTGGATTTGTGTTGCACAGCTCAACATACAAATTGGCACTTCCTGTCAATATAATCTTATAGTAAAGCTATATTTAAATCTCTGTAATTTTTTTTGCAGGTACCACTTAATTCACATGTCTATAACTTGTTAACGGTATTAATGGACTGGATCTCAGAGCAGCACCTATGCAAATTGATTGTTGAGGAAGAGAAAGAAAACATTCACAAGCTAACAGGCACATTTGTTTTCAGCAAAAACTATGTACAGGAGAAATGTGTCAAGGTACGATTTGTCCAACTTAATGTAATAAAATGGTACCACTATATTGGTATAATTTGTACAGTATGTTCAGTACTGGTACATTAAAATGCTCTACTGATTAAACAGAAAGATTTGATATTATAGATCCCAAGCTACTCTTCATTTTACTTTCACTGGAAAGCCTGTTGTCTAAAACAAGGGATCCATGTTTATGAATGTAACTTCAAATGAATGTTTGGTATACAGGCATGTTTCATGATATGTAACTTAACATATCTGGTTCCTTGTGATTTGGATTTCATCCATCCAGCTCGGATACATTAATTCTGATGTGGCTATCATTTAAGAATTTTTTAAACCAGAGATTTAAAAATGGTTAACCATGGTTACTTAAGATAGTAGATTACAAACCAAAAGTGCTCATGTACGTCCATTAGGTGCAGTGCTAAACATGTCTGAAAGTAATCCAACTGGTTGCAGTGGGACTTGTTTCTAATTCAGCATGCATAGCCTTGCACCATCCATTCCACACAAGCCCAAATAAGCTGCTTCTTGTGCTCCTCTGTAATAGAAAAGTTGTGATAATGCCAGACAAATGAGTTTAGTAAAGTTTTTTTAAAATAGATTGATTTCTCAATCAAGCTGCATACTGAAAATATTTAAAACCTATTAATGACATTATAATGCCAAATATACTATCTCTCAGAAAATTATGTGTTAGCTGCAGTACAGATTTTATTAACAGGCTTCTGTTAATAAACAGAATAAACGGACACTACAATCCAGCTTGTTTTCCTAGTACAGGAATCTCAAAGAGAATGTAAAACTTCCCTCCATGAGGAATGCCTTTATTCCATAATGATAGTGCTATATCAACAGCCATCATAAACAAATCCAGATTGAAATGGCATTAATTCTGCAAAATACTGATTGGCCAAAAGACTATATGCTATTTATGCCCCTACAATGTTGTTCTGAATAGCAGTTTATAGCCCAGATAAGTGACAGCTGATCTTGGTTGATCTCAGAAAATCCAGGTTAATTCTTGGATGGATGACCATAGCCAAATCCCAGGGCTCAAGGCAATGACAAACCACTATGTTAGACTTTCTAATAAAAGTAGACTATTACAGTTTTAGATTGATATAATTTAAACTGGAATGTTCACTGAAAAAGGAAAAATGCAGGAAAAACTAGTGAGAAAAATTAACATATTGCATTTCTCTAATTCATAGTTTGAGATATGTTTCTGCATAATAATATTTAACTTTTGATATTTTAATTGTTATTACCAGCATAAGTACCAGCTGCCAAATACAATCTATGTATAAGACCATAATTTGGAAAATAATTGCAACTTTTTGTTTGTGTTTTGCAGCTTTTGCCTCTAGTTGTGGAACAACTTCAGTGGTTGCCCTTTGTGAATCCTAACCTGCACTTCCCTGTGGTTAAATGCATTTACTGGGCTGTAAGGCAGTTAGATGGAAGTACCCAGGTAAAGTATGTTTTCATGCAGCAAATGTGCTTTTTACTAAGGATGTTTCACTGAATAAAACAAAATTTTCACTTTTTATGGCACTCTTAATCTAAATTTTAATCCGCTTCTAGACAAGATGGGTGGCACATAAATCTAATAAATAATGAAATGGTTAAATATCATTTAATCATAGGTAAATCATTTTAATATTAATGTAGATATATTCCACAATTTTTTTGGAAGACCCATTTCTTTTGTGAATCCCACTTCAGAGACTACTAGAATTCTAGATCTGAACACATTGTTTTGAAAAATTGCAGGATTCTCTTTATACAATTGATATAATTTTTTTTATTGGCCTCAAGCCGGTGTGATCTCTTTTTGTTTTTCTGCTTTGATGCAAATTCATATAAATCTTATAATTAATCATTATGAAACAATGTATCTTCATTACAAATTTGTAATAGGCAGAAATTAGACCATTTCCAAAAGCAAACCTACATTAGGAACTGTTAAGCCTTCAGAATATGTGTCAAATATATTAAATGTCAAATATATTTAAATGGTTTATTACATTAAGTATTTATCTTCTGAGATCACTGGTTTGGAAGTACATTGCATATTTGAAATGGTCAGATTGCAGTGTTGATAATATTTGTGTCTAACATTTATATTATAGTAAAATGTATATAGAATAAATATATTATGACAATACATAACACAGAATACTATAGTCACATCCTACTTTTTATTACTTGCATAAATAGCATGCAGCAATGACCTCAACCATGAGACGGCTGGGTGAAGACTTATTTAAAGGTGTTGTCCCTAAGGAAAGTCAACACAATTCTTCTGAACAATCTACTGATTCCAAGGCCAAGGCTGCATCTTTCTTTAAAAGTTGTAATTTATCTTTACGAGTTGTATCAACTTTAATTATAATCAAAGTGGTCACACAAGGTAAGCTTTATAAATATTTGGGAAAATATTAAACACTACAAACCTGTTAGTGTTTTTAGAAAACCTTTTAAAAGTTGTTGCTTCCTACAAGTTAATACTTTAAATATTTAAGGTACAGAGACAAGTCTTTTTCCTACAGTGCTGATAGAGGCTATCCTTTATTAGGTTTGCTCCTCTCACTTGCTGCTTCAGGCTGGATCACAAAATTCTTAAGATTCCACTCACCACTGGTTAGGATCCTATTTTTGATTGTAGAATTCTTTGAAAGTTACATTCTTCAATGCTTTCAGCAAGGACCATCATGGAAACCAAGGGCAGAAACTGCCTCTCTCCAGAAACATACTTAAATATCATATGATGCTTGTGATCTCATTAGGTAAAGAGATCCCAGTAGCTTTGATTCCAGTTGTTGCATACATTATCCATCTTCCTTTTCCTTCTCACAGTATCTCACGGAGTGGCAGCAGATACCCATCAACTCAATTTACATCTTGGCAGTTGCAGCTTGGAGTCATCCTTCTTTAGGTTCTACCTGCAAAGACTCCTATAAGCTGTTATCCTGAACAACCCAGCAAATACTGACTATAATATATGCATTTCCTGTTAATTGAATCTCTGATGATCTTAAATGGTAGTTTGGTTGACCATACAATACACACTACTGCATTTGAAATACTAAGGGAGTTTTTCAAGAATAGGACCAGAAATTAGCAGCCACAATATCAACAATATCAGTAACAATGTCTGCTTAAATAGGTTACATCTAAAGAATATCCAATGAAAGAATGAAAGATGTGAAATAAATTTTGATTCAGAAAAAATAGAATGAGAAATATTGGATAAAAAGGGAAGGGACTTAAAGTAGAAATACAAGTGATAAGAGAATGATTCAGATAAGGACTCTTTACTGCATACAGATTATCCTTGATTTATGACCACAATTGGGCCCAGAATTTCTACTGTAAATCGGTGGGATTGTAATTCCAGACAGACTCGACTTTATGACAATTTTTAGGACAGTTATTAAACCATGCAGGTTATTAAACAGATCCACCTCCCCCAATAGGCATTTTTGCTGAAAAGTTGGCAAAAAAGGTTTAAAAATTGGCAAAGAAGTAGGCAGAATGCTGTGTTCATACTATCATAAACACAAGCTATTTGCCAAGCACCTGATTGTGATCATGCAAGGGGGGGTTGCAAACAAGCTGTCCTAACTGAACCAAAAGAAACTGGCTGAAGTTTACAAATTTAAAGGGAAATAAATACAAATAATAAACCAAGCAAATGGCCTGGATAATGTCTTTTTATTGGGTTTACAAGAGGCTTGTTAAAACCTTGAAGAAGCAATGCAATGGGACAAAGAATAATTGAATGGATTAAAGATTAAGATTTTAACTAGTAAAAGGAAGAAATATAAAGTTACTTTATTTGATTAAGGTTAAAATAAGATCACGTTCTTTTGAAATCCAGGTACAACTTTTACAGAATTTTTGCTGATAACCAGACTTGAAAAGTTGGTGTTTTATGGATTTGCTTATAGATAAAGGATAGGATATGGGATGAAGAGATATCTGTTTAACCTTACAGAGAGTGAACAACTACCAAACCTATAAACTACCTGTTTATACAGGTAGTCCTCGACTTACAGCCATTCGTTAGTCACAGCCCAAAGTTACAAAAGCACTGAAAAAAGTTGACTTTTGACTGTTTTTACACTTAAAACCATTGCAGCATCCCCATGGATAAAAATTCAGATCCTTGGCAACTGGCATTTATTTATGATGGTTGCAGTGCCCTGGGGTCATGTGATCATCTTTTGCAACCTTCCGACAAAGTCAGTGGGGAAGCCAGATTCACTTAACCATGTTACTAGCAACAGCTGCAATTGTTTACTTAAAAGAAAGATCATAAAATGGGGCAAAATTCATTTAACAACTTCCTTGCTTAGCAACAGAAATTTTGGGTTCAATTGTCATAAATCAAAGACTACTTGTACTGTTCTTGCTGTGATGAAGATTGAAATTTTTTATATATTTCTTTTTTCCTTGTTTCACTTTTTCTTTTCTTTGTACTTTTTACTCCCTCTTTTTACTTTCCTTTCACTGAGCTTAGCTTGCATTCATTTTTATAACTGTAATTAAAATCTTAAAATGTTTTTTAAACATCTAAATTTGAGGACTTGTTAGCTTCTGATTTTGCAATTCAGGAGCGAGCGGCCTGAGAGTTATGTGCAGATGAAGCTCAGAAAGAACAAGACCTTTGGGGGATATTCTGCAGTTCTGATACAGTCAAGTAATCAGCCACCAATTGTAGAAGCCCAGCAACAGGCCAAGTCACACGATTTAGAGCCTGGAAGATTCCCAGTCTTCCCCAGTGGACCTAATCATATTGGAAGAGGCATATGATGACATGTGGGGCATGGCACAAAGGCAACACAGTCAAATAAACAAGAAGTATCTCTTTAGTACCGGCAGCTTTGCCCCCAATGTCAGGTTACCTTCGGCTGGAGAAAAATCTCTCCCAAGAACAGTCTTTAAATGGAGGAAATTCAGTCCAAAAACAAAATACATACGAACTGTAAATAAAAATCCACACAAACCACGCTGCAGCAATTAACTTGACAGGGCAGGATAAGGAATTGCAGACTTGAAAGGACAACAAAACACACACAGTTGGGAAGACACCAGGAACCCAGATAAGCCTAAACAATAACAGATAACTCACAATTTGCTTCCAACAACTTTGCTATGCGTAGCTTCCCTTTTTAAACACTGTTCCCAGCTGCAGCTAATGAAGGGAATCGGGGCCCTTTCCTCCCCCGTAAACCACACAACTCACATTGCTCCCTATTCTGTTCCTCCCTGAGTGTCCTAGGATGAAGAGGGGGTGGCCCTGAGTCTTTCTCTGAGTTCCCTCTGCCTTGCTCTACCTCTCCCCTGCTCTGCCCAGCCAAACTTTGCCCTTCCCCAGTTTTTCCACAGCCAACAACCACACTCCCACTCCCTGGCACCTGTTCGGCCTCCTCCTCAGAATCAGATTCTGACAGGGGCATGATAGGGCATGAGGTTCAACCAAACTAGCAATTCTCTCAAGTTCACTCCAAGGGCAAATCTTCCTGCTGCCTTCCTAGAGATGTCCACAAACAAAAATAATGGCATCATCTCTCCAGTGGAAGGGAGACTGGACTGATTTTTTTTAAAAAAAGAATGCCTGGATCCTTACCATAGAGATCCACCAGCTGAGAAACCAAGAGTTCTAATCCCAGCTTAAGCATAAAGTCAGCTGGGTGACCTTGAGCCAGTCACTGTCTTTCAGCCCTATGAAGGAGGTAAACCACTTCTGAAAAACTCATCCAGAAAACTGCAGGGGTTTGTCCAGGCAATCACCAGGCATCACTGCTAGCTCAAAGACCTCCCCATTCCTCACACATGGGAACACTAGTTTGGTTTCCTTTACAAAGTTACATCAACCAGAGAAAGATAAGCTTATGAGAATAATCTTCAATCATTAAGGTTGTGTTAATTTGGAATGAGAGCTTTGAAGCGATGCAGAATAAATGTTCTACAGTAGTAATCAAAATGTGACTAATAACTATTAAACTTTGGAAGTACTTGAATAACACAATTCAAATCATTAGAAGAAGGAAAAAAGAGAAACTGTAGATAATGAATAATACATTAAGTCAATAATATAAAATTATGTATTTCATATGGTAAATTCTAAAATCCAAATTTTCAATTTTCACAAATTGAAAATTATAAAAGTAAATTATAGTCTAAAATGGTTTTGAAATGGAATTGAATTCCAAATCAAATTTACTGTTCAAATATAAGTTATTCTAGAGATTGAAATTTTATTGCTATTTTAATAAACTGATGCTGGGAGATCTCCCCTCTGCCCCAAGTTTGTTTCTAAGGAGCTGTATAACTTGCCCTTTCATTTGCAGCTGTCTCTTGCTATATAGAAAGGCAATTTCTGTTTTATTCAATTCTGGTAAAAAAAAACTGGGCTAGGCTATTTAAACCTAAAGAAACTTGTGACTGTAATTGCTCTGTCTGTCATAAATCACACCCAAAGTTTATGTCTGAGTTGCAGTGGATTAAGCAGTAGCAATGGTCTAACTTAAGTTGCCCCCAATCAGTCCTAATAATATTCATGAATTCAGTAGATAAAATGGATCTTGCCTAAAGTCTAAATTATATTTTGTCACAATTCAAGCTGCTACAAAGATGGTTTTAGCTCTGAATTCTATGGTGAGCAGACCATATCTACCCAACGTTCTTTCATTTTTATGCAGGTGTAAATGAAGCTGAACTGCCCTAATTGAAGTTCAACTTCATTCATGTGTTTTTCTTGCAATTACATTCCGGATTGCTTTCACTTGGTTTATACTTGCTGTCCATGGCATTGTGATAACCCAGGGTGTGGCACAAAGGCAGCACAGTCAGTCCCTTTATTATCTCCAACTTTGCCCCCAGTGTCCAGGTTACCTTCTGGCTGGAGAAAAAAACTCCCAGGAACAGCCTTTGACTGCAGAAAATTCAGTCCAAAACAAAAAAACAACAACAAGGTAAACAGAAACTGTAACTGTAACTTGTAAGTCCAAACAAGCCAAACTGATTAGTTTGGCAGGGCAGGAGCAAGAATTTCAGACTTAAAAGCATGGCAAAACTCACACATTTGGGAAGACGCCAGGAACACAGATAAGCCACGACAGTACAAGATAAAGTCACGTTTGCTCCCAACAGCCTGCCACAACCAGCTTGCCTTTTTTGTAATCTGTATTCCCAGTTGCAGCTAATGGAGGGAATCAGGGCCCTTTCCTCCCCTGTAAGCCATGCAACCCCAGTTGCTCTGTTCTCCATTCCTCCCTGCGTGCCCTACGATGAAGAGGGGGTGGGCCTGGGTCTCCTCTGAATTCCCTCTTCCTTGTTCTACTTCTCTCCTGCTGTGCCCAGCCAGACTTTGCCCTTCCCCAGTTTCCTCCACAGCCAACAGAG